GACTTGTTACAGTAGAAACAGAGTACGAATAATTTGTAGCTATTTTTGGCGACAGGATGACCGCAGGGGCTCGGCACGGTCCGTGTCTAGGCTTTTTGAAAAGAAATTCCCTGACTTTCGCAAAATTTTACGAAGTCTTCTTTGACCCACAATCGGAAACGCCGACTAAAAACACCAGTTTTTGTGTTTTTTCGGACCCACAAAAACGAGATCCCCTCTGATTTTTTTGCCCCGAAAACGAAGTCCAGCCTGCTTCCAGAATCTGGACTGGGCCCAAGATGATCGTAGACCATTCGGACGTGGAACAAGTTCCTTCGCTACCCGCACTATCAATTGATACGTCGTTCCAGCAATATATTGCAGGAATGCTTGACAGGATCTATAGCGCCAAAATTTGGCATTTACGATTTCGCAACATTCAGAGCAAAGGCGACAAATTCAAATATTTCTGCCTGAAATAGTAGCAGCTACTAGCTTTGCTGACATCTTAGTGCTCTGGAACAGAGATGGTAAGGCTGTCAGTTGCGCAATTAATCACCCACTGGCTAATATAGCTTGTTCCAGCTGCAGTCTTGAGAACAGCTATATATCAACAGCCATGTATTTACATGGCTTTTGGAACTGGAAGGAAGAAAGGAGCATTGGATGCTTGACTTGAAAAAGCTAAAAGGTAGTGGGAAATCTAGCTCTAAAGATCGAACATATCAGATCGAAAAAAATGGAAATTTGTGTTGCGAAAGAATTGGAGAGGGATTCAAAAATCAAGCAATCGCCGAATGCAGACAAATTAAAAGGTTTTTTCGAAAGGAAAAAGATCGTCTAGGGATGTAACATAAAATTTTTTTATTCTAATGGCGATAAGTTTCAATGTTTCAACCGTATAATCTCTTGAGGTTTACGTTTTCTTCTCACATCTCGAAAAGCTACTAAAAAGTGTTTGTAGAAATTCACGGGATGAAAATCTCAAAAAATGACTATAAAGTACGACAAGAAATTATAAAAATATTCAAAACTGTTGAACAATGATGAACAGTAGTGAAAATTGTGAACATATAATCTTATTTCAGTCAAACTGGAAGACCTCAGTCCACAACCGTTGCAGGATAAAACATTGCTCCCGGTGAGGCTCGAACTCACGACCTTCAGATTATGAGACTGACGCGCTGCCGACTGCGCTACGGAAGCACACTTTCGAGATCGTTATGGCTTTTTATATTTCGAACCTCTTATTGTTCCGTAGATGTGTCTGATCCTAGGAACTAAATGAATTTCTTGATCGTTCTTCACACTTTATGAGACAAAACAAAGTAAGATCAATTTCTTATCAGTTTGTTTAGAATCAAACCAAGCGAAGGTAACATGCTTTTGAATTATTATAATTTTCTTCATTCTCTGTATTTACTTCTAATTTTGCGACAAAGGTTTTATATGCTTTTATTTGAAGTTGTCTACACCCGACCTATAACTTGATATCCATGATCCTAAGACCTGTAATAAAAACTACCAGTTTCGTTGTTGTTTTCGGATTTGGCATTCCTAAGCTTTCCGGCGCTGCGAATGCGAGCTGTGAATTTCGAGATGATCCGGACAACAAGGTGCGCCGAAACCCGTTTAGCACTTGTTTTCAAGGGTTCAACTTTCGCTAGAACGGATAGCATTTGTAGCGACGGCTCTTTTCATTTCAAAGGGGCATTCATGTTCATGATAAAGCGGTTTCTGCTGACAAAAAGTATTGCAAAGCCTCTGTTTGTAGAAACAATCAATGCTATGAGTTGTGAAGTCCTTGAAAAGGTAAAAACCTAAAAAACCTAAATTTCTCGTACTGATTAGACAAAGTCTCGCTTCTATTTCAGAAAAAATAATCATGCAACTGAAATTGATGAACTTCCTCTAACAAAACATTGCTGGGCTTCCGTAGCGCAGTCGGCAGCGCGTCAGTCTCATAATCTGAAGGTCATGAGTTCGAGCCTCACCGGGAGCAATGTTTTATCGCAGAGTATCACTTACTTGTGTTGCGTTCGATTTGACATAGTATTCAGTGTTGCAACAAAAGAATTCTTTCGGACATCGAATTGAGAGCTTTGGCATATCCATTTTATTCGTATTTTTGAAAACCAGATCAGAACAGAATTTTTTAGTATGAATGCTCTTCTGTTTCGAGACACTTAGGAGTAGAGGCAAACAGACATAAAGAGGCTCTACAAAATGCTACCAACATACCTGTAGCAGTGGCGGACCAAGCCCTCCCCCCCTGAGAATGGGTCGCGTTTCTAAAATTTACTTATATGGGTTAATAAAATGTGCAAGTGACTTGTTCATTCTTGTAAATAATCAAAATAATTTTTTAAACCTTTTAGAAATTAATTAGCCTTGTAAAAAAATTTCCGAGGCGCGTGGCTGACGCCACGAACCTTCCATTTGAAAAAATTTCTTGCCTCCCCCCCCCCCCGCGAAGAAATCATGCGACTGCCAGTGACATGTGGGTAGACATAACCTTCAAATTTTGGCATGCAGCAAAGAAATTATAACATACAATCTTTTTCAACAAGCTTTTCTTTGTCTTTGGCATTAGTGGACCAGGTAGCTTCGGAACAATTTTATTTACTATGCTCTACCAAATTTGCGTCCCAAACTATCTCTTCGTCTAGCCATAATATGTATCAAAAAAGTTAAGTCTATCTCGTTTTCAGCATTTTTAACCCTCGATCAAGGGGAATGTCTGTGGGCATTCATGTACTATTTACCACATATATCATTTACTGTGATCGTTTTCTGCGATTTTTTGGAGCATTCGAGCAGTGAGGTATTTTTAATGTACTTTTGTATGTTTTGTACTTTAGTGTCCACGCTGACACAATAGACACAATGGACAAGAACACTCAAAACCAAATCAAATCGCAGTAAGGGCGCAGCGTAATGTGCGGTAAATTACGAGAGACTTTGATCCCGGAACTTGTCGCATTTATGAATAGCATGTTAGTAATGCTTTTGACTCGCATTCAACCACCTTACGTAGCTTGAAGGAGAGGCCTATCTGTAAGCAACCCTGACTGAATCTTACAATAAGCATCTTCTCCAGCTTGATATATGGAAGGCTGCTCATGATCCAGGAAAACATCAATATTTCACAAGGAATATGATACCCCAAACGTCTTTTGAAAATCTATGGAACGGTGAAAAAAGACATAGAGTATAGTGAAAAAAACCCATTCACAAAGATTTATATCCCTTCTCAACCAGATAATCTACCCGCTTCATCTATGGTTTGTCCCCCATAAATGTTCCCATAGAAACCAATAACGTGGCTGCCTTTCGATCATTTTAACACGTTGACTCTTGCAAATTTAAGGCGCTTTGAAGTTAACATGTTGAAATAATCGAAAGGCAGCCACGCTGATGGTACTCATGGGACATTTCTGGAGACAGATGATAACTATAAACTTTGATAGTCGGCGGAAAAATCTCTACAGAAGTTCCGGCTGGCTTATGGCTTTCAAAGTTTGAGGCGGAAAACTGGAGAAAGGGCTAAAGAGGATTGATTTGCTGCAGTTGTTAGGAATTGATGACGTTGTGTACTTCTGTTTCAATTGCCAACCACTTTGATCATGCTCTTGCGCAAAGCCTATGAATGGATAACATTCTTATTTCAAGATTCGACGTCACTAATTATTATGTTGGCCCGAAAGTTCTGTCGCACCATTTTCAAAAATTCATAACTTCCGGTTTTTTAGACAGATTTACGAGTTTCCATTTTTACATGAAAGAGCAATTCATTCTCTTCGTACAGGTGCCTTAACGGCTTTCTGATAAGCATACATTTCATAGAAGAACGCTATAGAAGAAAATCGGTCAAAATTTGAATTTTCTGTGTAGGGTCATGAAAAATCGGAGACTTGCAACAAAAATTGGAGCAGTCAGTATTGTAGGTTCTTTCACCAGCTCTTGCTAAATGTGCAAAGTTTTGCGCCGATTGAGCGTCTCTATTAAAAGTTATGATTTTCGAGCAAGCCATACAAAAGGGCGAATTTGATTTATTTTGGCATTTTTCAGGAAATTAATTTCACACAAACGCTCAATCGGCGCAAACTTTGCACTGTTAGAAAGAGCTGGTGAATAAACCTACAATACCGACTGCTCCGATTTTTGCTGCAAGTTCCCGATTTTTTATGACCCTACACAGAAAATTCGAATTTTGACTAATTTTCTTCTACCGCTCCTATCTAAGCAATAGATGACCCCTAGCAAGCAGCTAAGATATTATTATAAAGAGCATGACTTACTCTTTCATATAAAAATAAAAGCAGTCAAATCGATTGGAAAAATCAGAAGTTATAAATTTTTGAAAATGGTGCAATAGAACTTTCGGGCCAACCTAATATTTGCTGTGCTACATATGGAAAATAGAGTTCAGGGAACATTTCAAAAGCGCTGAAATAAATGAATATGTGAAATGCGGTTATAGCATCTTTTACAGGGCTCGACACAGGTGGCTGGTAAGCAAGCTGGATATCGTTTCTGGGAAAGCAAAGGGAGTTTCGTTTTTGTGGCCGAAAAGACACAAAATTTGCGACGTTTTTTTAGTAGACGTTTCGTTTTTTGGAAATTTTATACGGATTATGGTGTAGATTCAAAAGGGACTCCATAAAATTTCGCAAAAATTAAAGGCGACTACGTTTTTTTGCATTTTCAACAAGCCACCTCGTGCCGAGCCCTGATCTTCTATGTTTCCTACAGTAGGTCACTTATTGTTAATCAAAGTGGTTGATTGGACTATGTTACCACTGCTAGAGAAGTGGAAACGCTAACCTCGAATTGCCTTCCCTGTTTCCGCGTTTCTAGACTCAGACAGGAGCCTTTTGAAATTGGGAATAACGCGGCGGATATGAGGAGTCAAAAATAAACGATTTTAGTTTTACTGTAGTCCCATTCCTCCTAGGAGACGTAAATATCCATCGCAAACCTTTATTCAACCTCCTGTCTTTACAAACAGATTCAATGAAAATACTTTATTTTCTAAAACAATCTGTTGATAAAACGAGGTAGAACATTTAACTTAGTCATGGCTATTTACAATCTGTTGATAAAACGAAGTAAAAGCCCATATGTACAAAAACAAAGGTTTGAAAATGGCTACTCGCTAGAATTTCGATAGATCATGCAATTGAAGTAGAAATTGGAAGTCAGTTCGTGTATTGCTGGGGACTGGGGGGGGGTGTGAAGAGCTAAAATTTCGTTAAGTTAATGGCCTTCAGAAACGAGTTTGTCATAAGCATCCAATGTGAGGAAATCGCTCATTTCTTCTTCTAGGGCGAATTTTTCGAGGAGTTCGGCTGCTTCGGGTAATCTGAAATTGGAAATTATCAAAATTGTAAAGCTAACTTTCAATTTGAAGAAAATTAAAAATACCTGCTGACAACAGAACCCGCGCGGATCAGACGTCTTTCCGTCTCGGCTGCAATTGTCTGCTTTACCAGTTGTGCATCGACAGTGCGACCATCTAGAATTTTTTGAGTTGACACCAATCAATAAATCAATAGTCAACCGCATCTACCTTCCAATCGAGCATCATGTCTAAGCCATTGCCATAGTTGAGCACGGCTGATTTCAGCTGTCGCCGCATCTTCCATAAGGTTATAGAGCGGTACACATCCCACACCACGTAGCCATGAGTCCAAGTATCCTGAAAAAAATTTGGTTATTGACTTTATTGATTTTTTTAAAGTAGTCCAGGGCTTACCTAGAGTAACGCTAATATTGTGTCTAAAACCATGATCGGTACGAGTTCCCTCGGGAATAGCTGTTAGATCAGCATTGGTTGCCATAACGCCTTCGAGCTGAAAAAACAAATACTAGTTCCAGACGGAGGCAGATGTCTACATAAGGTGAGCATGCGACGCGGCGCGCGAGCGGCTATCGGCCTCTATCTAGTGCATCCCGCGCTTCAGAGACAACAGGTTAAACGCCACTTTCGCGCCCATCTACCATTACCCTTGATTCACGACCACGTAGCTTTTGGTTTGATTGTGCATTTACATACCTGTTTCTGGATCTGATTTGCTGATGGCATGCAATCGTCAAAGACTTGGCGAGCAATTGGGACAAGTCCCGGATGTGCAACCCAGGTTCCGTCGTGTCCTGAACAGTATGAACTATTATTATCTTATTTATTTGTGCAAAAACTCGTCCACAAAGTTTACCATCGGTAGCTTCTCGTTCTTTGTCTTGACGTACAAGAGCAAGAGCTTTACCATTGGCTACCTGGAATACGGTAAGTAATCGATAATTGATCATGCAGTTGCAACTGGATAGGTAAACCATGTTCATGTAGTTGCAACTAGATAGCGTAAAGCTAAGAACTCTACCCTGGCAAGTCAGGTATAGGCATCACCACACCACACGAGGTGAACTCGGGTAAATCTCGAGAGTTGGGTAAAGCATTAGGGAGAGGGCGAAGAGTAGAATATCTCTTGGTAAAAATGGAATAAGGATTTACAAACCACACAGGTATTGGGTAGTGGTTACTGTATATTTTCTAAAACTGCAATCTATGGGATGCCCACATGGGTAAGAGAAAAACATAGGATTGTCGAGTAGGTTTTGGTAGAAGATAGATGGAGGAAAATCGCCCAAAAACAGCCATTGGCCATTTGCATTGTTTAACAAACCTCACACTGTTCTTTTGTCCAGTGTTTAAACATTGCGTTACCATAATAACGGTGATTAAGTACCTGTTTAGTTTACCGAATGGGATTAGAGAATATTTTCAAATTATGAAAACTATTTACTAGGCTGTTGCATAAGTTCTGTCCGATTTTTTTGCCTCATGTTTGAAGCAGCTGTTCTAAGAGAATTTCATCTCTAATTCGATACGGTTGGTATCATTGAAAAGTGCTTTCCTTGCGCTTTCTAAAGCATACCAGAATTCAATAAAATTCTTAGTGTACGGAGATCACAGGCCTAAAATCTCTAAGTGGCCGAGGTACGTTCTATCCCTAGAAATATGTCCTTGCGAGGATATCTCCACAATGCGCCCTTCAAGTCAGGTTCTTTCATTGGCTTCGGAATAAGGGTATGGAATGCTAGTATATGCAGAAGTTCGGTCCCATGAAGAATACGTCTTGCTAGTGAAATTTATCCTCGAACATAAATCTTTGGTATAGATGTTTTACAAGCAATAACTTTCTGCGAATAGAAGTAATCGACAAGCTCAAAGTTGGAGGTGCTAGGGCAAAGCAAGAGCTAACAGGGCCCATCCACCAATTCCTTTTCGGCGCTCACGTCAACTGTAAACTTTCATAACTCGTAAATAGGCATGCACACATGCGCTGAAGCGAGGTCAAAAAGTGGCTAATTTTTTGTTCGGTCAAAAAAATCTCTCGGCAGCGCAAACCCTATGGGCTCTTTTATGTTGCATAATAATCTACGAAAATTTCTTTATCCATCCATTATTAGAAAAGATGCCTATCAATTTTCATAAGGGAGCGTTACCATGTCAAAAAAGACAGATTCGAAGAAAAACGCTGCGAAATTTTTGCATTCTTGGTTCTTCCTTAACAAAGATTTGCGCAGATCTCAATATGCATTTTTTAGCCAAGGGACTGCTCAACACATAGAAACTAAGACCTTGGAAAAAAGTTGACTCTGAAAGAAGTTATGACATTTTAAACTCAAAAATTCAAATCGGACAGAACTTATGCAACAGCCTAGTAGATGGGAAAATAAGGAATGGAGGAATCGATGTTAGAGCAAATTTTCTTATGATGGTGGCAGCAAAAACTTTCTTGTAAAGGGCAAAGGGCGATTGAGCCTTCGCAAGAGTTTAGTATGAACTTCTTACATTTTTACTTGATACTAGTAACTTCTTCCGGGCTTTTTTTGTTCTATGAATAAACTTTTATCAGTATTGGACTCATCCATGCCGTTACAGAAAATTCAAATTTTATACTTAAATTTTTTTAAAATCTTCCCAAAACTCTCACCTCATCGTTCTTGATTGGAATCTGTGCGGCCATACCACCCATGGCATGGATACCTCGTTGATGGCAGGTCTTAATGCATAGGAGAGAATATGCCCTCATAAATGGTGACGTCATTCCTGAAAACACCTATGAATTTGGTTTTTATTTATTTAATTTGAACTTCATATATTTTTGTGGGGGGGAGGGGGGAGACGAAGCTATGACGGTGCAAAACTAACCAATCTGGAAGCGATCCGGGAGCAAAAATTTCCGGTGATTTTGGAAAGTCTTGATGTACGAGAAGATGTAATCCCAACGTCCACAATTTAGTCCAACGATGTAGTCTTTCAACGCATAAATGATTTCGTTCATCTGAAAAACAAAAAATTTCAAAAACTTCAAATTTTCATTGAACAGTGATTTTATTCATCTAGAAAAAGGAAATTTTTGAGAAATTTTGGATTGTGACTGAACACTGATTTCGATCATCTGAAAAAAAAAGAGTCCTTATGATGTTCAATTTTGACTGAACAATGACTACTAATCTAAAAGAAAATTAATTTTTAGAATTCTGAGTGAAGACTGATTTCATTGATTTGAAAGGGAAATAATCTTCGAAAATTTTTGGATTCTGTATGAACATTGATTTCATTGATTAAAATAAAATTTTAATGAATTTTGAAGTCTGATTAAGCACAAATTTCATTCACCTACAAAAAAGAAAATTTTCAAAATTTGTTGAATTTCGACTAAACTAATTCATTCATCGGAAGAGACACTTTCGAGAAATCTTGAATTTCGACGTTCATCAATTTTTCTCATCGTGAAAAAAATCAAATATTTTCCACAATTCTGAATTTTGACTGTCTCACTCGGAAAAAAATGCTTGATTTTCCAAAGTGTGGAACTTTTTGATATGAAAACGAAACCACATACTTGGAAGCTCGCCAATAAATGCTCGATAAGAACCGTGCACTTGATGGTACCCTTTGACAATCCTAGTTTTTGCTCAGTGTACTCAAACACCTCAGCCCAAAGTTGAGCTTCTTCAGCATTTTGAAGTTTTGGCAGATAGAAATATGGTCCGCTGCCTTTGTCAACGAGAGCCTGGAATTTTATCGGTTTCAAAAATGTCAAAAATTGAAAAATTTTGAAAATTACCTTGGCATTATGATAGACAAACAGCCCAAAGTCAAAGAGTGATCCGGAAGTAGGAGTGTTGTGGATAAGCACGTGTTTTTCCAATAGATGCCAACCACGAGGACGAACCTTTAGCACTGAAAGATAAATCGATATCGATCAATACTATTGATCGATGAGATAAATCAATACCTGACGTGTTCTTATTCAAAGTATACTCTTTCTTGGTGGTTGGGTGCACGTAAGAGATGTTATCTCGTACAGCATCGTAAAGATTGATTTGACCATCAAGCTGATTTCTCCATGATGGAGTGTTAGAGTCTTCGAAATCAGCCATGAAGACCTAGAAAACTGATATTATAGCCCGGAGAAACTCGATTTTTTAAAGCAAAAAATGGGGTGATCGCCAATAATCTTCGTCCGCGCGGATATCTGGTACGAAGCTCAAAGTTTAGAAGTGAGTGATTTGTCGCAGATGTCCGCGCAAAGGGGCGGTCTAATGTCCACCACCCAAAAAATTCTAATTGCACTTACGTTAGCACCAGAATTCATAGCATTAATGATCATTTTTCTTTCTGTTGGTCCTGTGATCTCTACGCGGCGATCCTGAAAAAAAAATTATATTCAAATGGAAAAACAAGTTCTGAATGTTTCAGGACCTACCATAAGATCCTTCGGAATCTCGGCACCTTTCCAACCCTTGTCGTTTCTAATATCTTTTGTATCTTTGGAGAAGTCCGGGAACCATGCGCCCTCGTTGATATCTGTAGAAAAAAAATGATTAGATGTTAGAAAAAATATTTAAAAAGTTTCATTTCCTTCTACTAATTCACTGCTTTTATTAATTTCATTTATTAACTTTTTATTTTTTTCTTTTTTTCGTTTTCTCCGTCATATAGACAAAGTTAAAATTGAAGCATGATGTTTGTCCCTTAGGCGGGATAATGGGCAAATTATTTTCGAGGAAATACTCAAAATTTAGACCTAGAAAAACTAATATATGTAACGTGAGCAGCTAAAATAAGATAGTATTGATTGGTTGCGTCACCTAAGCGACGCGGCTGCGCAGCGCTAGGCCACGGATAAGTAGCACTTCGTTTAGCTAGTCGCACAGAATTTTTAAGTACTTACTTTACAAAATTGGAATTATCGAAATTGTTTTCTGAAATCATTTTTTGTGTAAACCCCCGAGCATACTACACGTGGTAGCATATTACACGTGATTTCAGTCGCGACAGGATCTGGCAACATGCCAAGTGTTTTCAGATGCATCAATTGCAGACTACAAGTATTTTCCCACATTGATTGAATTTCCTATCTTTTGAAAACGCTTGCTACACTACTATGTATTATAGGTAGTTGGAATACTGCCAAACCGCAAATGAAATCGCGTGATTAATCTCCGGGAGCTAATACAAAATTCTAAGAGTAACTGTGAGAAATCGCAAAATAATCGAAAATTTCAACCAACCCCTTTGCACTTTCGTTCGCTTTTTCAGTAGATGTAAACGCTTTGCATCGAACTTCATGTTGAGCTCCTTGATGAAACGAAGGGCATCCGGTGTCAAAATCTTTTCATCGCCAGGTAGGGTAGGCGCGGTAAGCTAAAAAAGCACATATTAGTACGGTAATATACCGTATGCCAGAGCAACGTTAAAGTTACCGTAAGAATCTCCTCATCAGCACTGCTTGCGGTAACTGTCTTAAACTGCGCTTCTTCAGTCGAACCTGTCAAAGCTGTGGTACTGGACTTTCCACCGCAAACAGCATTGGAGATGTGATCGAAATAGCCGGTACCAACTTCGCGTTGATGTTTTACAGCTGAGTAACCATGCCTAGAAATTTTGAAAATTTTTCGATTTCAGACCATCATAATCAGGGACCAAAATCTTACTTCTCGGCCTCGAATTCCTGCTCTTGTAGTTCAGAATAGGCATGCATTCCATGGTCTTTGTATTTCCTAGCAAGATCAAACATACTGAAGCTGTTAGCATGGAATCCAGCAAGGGTAATGAATTGATATTTGAATCCTAATGCGCCGAGTTCCTACAAAAATATCAAATTCTGAGAAATCTAAAAAAATTCCAGAAAAAAATCTACCTTTTGGAATTTCTCCATTTGTGTGGGGCTGAGATGTTGCTTCCAGTTGAACGATGGTGAACAATTATAGGCGAACATCTTGTCGGGATAGACCTAGAAATCAGATTCTACGTTTTTTAGATAATCAAGAATATTTTTAAAAAATTTCCGAACCTTTCTCACGCCTTCGGCGAATTCCCTAGCATCGGCGATTGTTGGATGACTTGTCTCCATCCATATAAGATCACAGTAGGGAGCATAGTGGATAGCACGCTCGATACAGTACTGCAGGGCAGTGGAGTCCTTCAATCTGAAAGGGGAGCGAAACTTAAGTTGGTCTAAAAATTTTCTTGGAAGACTTCTGACTACAAAGATTTGGAAGAAGATTCAGTAAGATCATTCCCAGGAAGAATGAATTTTTATTCTATAGAATTGCACTTCGACACACGAGGCATTAGAGTCTTTCGACCTGAAACCTAGAAGTGGGGTGGAGTTTGACATATCGATTAGGAAAATCTTTCGAAAGAATTCTTCTTTCCTAGTCAGAAAAAAGTTGAAATAAAAGTAGAACTTTAGTTGCTAAGTTCAATGGTTTTATGACATATTCTTTTGAACTGTTAGCCGAAGAAACGGGACCGAAAAATTTAGTGAGAAAATGCCTTGTCTTATAATTCATGCGTAGCGACTGCGCAGCGGTACGCGGATGCCTCTGAGTTGTGGCATGCAAAATTTTTTAGCTAGACCACGTTATTGATTTTGTTTTGGAAGGCGTCGATGAGCGCAAGGAATAATCTGGCGAACATTTTGAATTTAGTTCAATTTTATCATTTTTAGTTTTATTTGATATTTTTGAATTTTCGAGGCCGTAGCAATGTGGGTACAAGTAAATCACTACGTATAAAAGCATGAATTCGTGCACTTTCCCTAAACGATAGCAGATGGTAGACGAGGAGAAGCCAGACGAGAGGCGGACACGCCCCCTGTGTATTTCCATATGAGACATGTTTTCATTTGTACCGAACCGTCTCGAATTTTTTTTCGCGCATAGCTGTCGCCTAAGGACAAATTCCAGACTGTAAACAGACCATCACGAGTGGCACAACAGTCTCAAGACGATGTTTTCGCATAAGTCACATGACTGCATCATATGCGATCCTTGAGCAACATCCATAAAATAACGAGGCAAATGTTCCCCAAATGTCGAGGTTCAGTATACTATGTCGCCATTATCATGAAAAGTCCCCTCGTGCAAGGTTGTTGTCGCATCGTCTTACGTAGGTTTTATCTACATAAATCTTTTGCTTGCAGGTGGTAAAGATTTTCAACATTTCCAGTTTATGTTTCTGCCTTTGTGCGTTTACGTTTATTTATCGTTTTTTTTTGTTTCGTTTTTCTCTGCTTACACAAAAATTAAATCGCACAGATTGAGTGGGTTTCGCAGTAGAGCCAAAACCTGATGCTTTTCGAAGCATGTCTAAGAAATACTGCAAATGATGGAAATTTTACTTTTCCAAGTTTTTGAGAAATCTAACTTTTGTCGTATTCCGAAAAGCCTGAAATTGCGTTCTGTTGTCGGAGGCGACGCCTCAGAAGAAAAAGCACTAAGACAACTACGCACCGCGGATAATGTCGAAATTTTGATCAAAAATGTTATCTGATGGACTTGTAGAAAGGTTAATTTGTGTAATTGGGTGTCGCTGGTGGGAACGAGGTTTTATCTCAGACTAATGCTGCTTTCGTTTCCAGAATTGAAAGTGCTCGAGTAATTGGGTATTGCTGGTGGACGAGTATATATTTGTGAAAATATTCCCTGTTGTATAGAAAGGAAAGCGTAAGTAACTGGATTTCGCTGGTGGAGACGAGCGTTACTTAAAGAAACGCTTGAGTCTGGGTCTCGTTGGTGAAGGTTTTTTTGCTTTGCTTGAAACTCAACGCTTCGGGTCTTTGGGTCTCGCTGGTGGAGGGAAGCGTTTACTCGGCGAAATTCTATGCTTTGGGTGACTGGGTCTCGCTGGTGGAGATGAGCTTCTACTTAGGGAAATCCAACGCTTGAATGACTGGGTCTCGTCGGTGGAGGAAAGCGGGGCGTCGGGTAAGGAACCAACGCCAGTAAGTGCTTTCGATGGTGGAGAAGCGTTTACTCGCCGATTCAATGCTTTGGGTGATTGGGTCTCGCTGGTGGAGATGAGCTTCCATCTGGGAAAATTCAACGCTTGAATGACTGGGTCTCGTCGGTGGAGGAAAGCGGGGCGTCGGATAAGGAACCAACGCCAGTAAGTGCTTTCGATGGTGGAGAAGCGTTTACTCGCCGATTCAATGCTTTGGGTGATTGGGTCTCGCTGGTGGAGATGAGCTTCCATTTGGGAAAATTCAACGCTTGAATGACTGTGTCTCGTTGGTGGAGGAAAGCGGCGCTTCGGGTAACGATCTCACTCGTGGAGATGAGCTTCCACTTGGAGAAATCCAACGCTTCAGTAAGTGCTCGCGATAGTTGAGGAAAGCGTTTATTTGAGGATTCAACGCTTCGGGTCTTTGGGTTTCGCTGGTGGAGGAAAGCGTTTACTCGGCGAAATTCTTTGCTTTGGGTGACTGGGTCTCGTTGGTGGAGATGAGCTTCCATCTGGGAAAATCCAACGCTTGAATGACTGGGTCTCGTTGGTGGAGGAAAGCGGCGCTTCGGGTAACGATCTCACTCGTGGAGATGAGCTTCCACTTGGGGAAATCCAACGCTACAGTAAGGGCCGCATGCACTAACATCCCCGCGGGGAGGGGATCGCAGCTTAAAAGAAAGCTTTATATTTCGAAACTCCAGATACCTGGATTTCACTTTGTGTACCTATCCGTAAGCATTCCTACTACCCTTCACTATGAACATGTTGAAGAGGAGCGAGAAGCTGCACGAACCGCATTTTCCAGCTTTTGTATGATCCCTGATGATCCCCAGCGCTTTTCTTTAAAGTCATTTTTCTTTCTCCGAAGTTAACGAAAAACCCCCAAAGTTGTGCAGATTATCTAACCCGACACTGCTAAGATGTTGCTGATAAGAACAAATGATGTTTTAAAGTCATGAAATTTTCGATGATCCACAGGTCGAAATTTGAGGTTTACCGAAAAATTCGACTTTTCAAAAACTCATTTGTTCTCATCAGCAACATGCTTAGCAGTGTTGTGTTAGATGTTCAGTACAACTTTGGAAGGTTTTCGCTGACTTCGGAGGGAAAAATGACTTCAAAGAAAAGCGCCGGGGATCATCAGGGATCATATAAAAGCGGAAAATGCGGTTCGTACAGCTTCTCGCTCCTGTTCAACATGTTCATAGTGAAGGGTAGTAGGAATACTTACGGTTAGGTACAGAACGTGAAATCCAGGTATCTGTAGTTTCGAAATATAAAGCTTTCTTTTAAGCTGCGATCCCCCCCCCCCCCAGCGGGGAGGTTAGTGCATGCGGCCCTGAGTGCTCTCGATGGTGGAGGAAAGCGTGTACTTGGGGATTCAACGCTTCGGGTCTTTGGGTCTCGCTGGTGGAGGGAAGCGTTTACTCGGCGAAATTCTATGCTTTGGGTGACTGGGTCTCGTTGGTGGTGATGAGCTTCCATCTGGGAAAATCCAACGCTTGAATGACTGGTCGTTGGTGGAGGAAAGCGGCGCTTCGGGTAACGCTCTCGTGGAGATGAGCTTCCATTTGGGGAAATCCAACGCTTCAGTATGTGCTCTCGATGGTGGAGAAAAGCGTTTACTTGGGGATTCAATGCTTCGGGTCGGGTCTCGCTGGTGGAGATGAGCCTCCATCTGGGAAAATCCAACGCTTGAATGGCTGGTCGCGCTGGTGGATGAAAGCGGCGCTTTGGGTAACTGGGTCTCGCTGGTAGAGATGAGCTTGCACTCGGGGAAATCCAACGCTTGGATGACTGGGTCTCGCTGGTGGAAGAAAGGGTTCACTTGTGGAAGTTTAACGTTTTGGGTAACCGAGTTTCGCCGTTGGAGATGGGTTTCCACATAGGAAAATCCAGCGCTTGAACTACTGGGTCTCGTTGTGGAGGAAAGCTTTTACTCAGGTTATGCTCTTCCGTGTGGAAGAGAAAGCTTTTAGATAACTGGGTTCCGCTGGTGAAGATGTGTTTCTGTTTGAGGAAATTCCACTAGCGGTAACTGGGTCTCCTGTTGAAAATGCTTCTATTAGGGTGATCACTAAAAAATGGGGCACCTAGAGAATAAATGTAGATTTCTCAAAAAAGAAAAGTGATTAAACTTTCCAATTTTGCTAGATATTAGAATAAATTGTTCTCTTTCAGAAAATACCTATATAAGGTCATTTACATACGTAATAATTTTTAGAGTGGCTGAAATGCAAAGTTAGTCACTTTGACAAATTATAAACTTTGGGCAGTATCTGCGCAGTGAAACATGTGAGACCACCCAAAGTATCACTGCTGGAGTGGGTGGTGGGACAGTCACTAAACCCACGGCAGTTTCGCAGGAATCTCATGCTTATAGATATACAGGTAAACATCTCCTTGATGGCCTCAACTTTCAAAGTCAGGAGATATAGCCATTAGTAGCTTCGAGAACAAAGATACGGGTTATTCAATTCTTTGCAGGTGAACGCATGTTTTCTAGGTGCCATCTGATAGAGCTTTTTACGCTCTATCCATTCTTATGCAGCTTACCTCACATTTCATCTATCTTCGGAAAATACAGATTGAAAATTGATTTATTGGTTTTTGTTGCGCCAAAAAATCGCGATTTTTCAGGTGTTCCCTTTTTTAACCCAGAAATAGAAAGGTATCCTGTATGTTTAATATATTGTTTGAAAGAGCATGAAGAGCTCTTTCGAATAGTATATCAATTGCTCTATAACTTTGCGGTATGGCAGCGCAAGAATGAGCGATGTTCAAAAAACCCTGTTCGAGTCAGGGCGCCACGCGTAGGGTTGTGGGAGAGGAGCATTGAAGCTTTGCCAGAATAATAGGCGAAGGTTGCTTATATAAGCGACGTTAACGTTGCAGCCTGCTTGTTGTTGACTTAAAAAAAATCTCAAAATTTAATAAAAATCAAGCTGCCCCATTTTTTAGTGATCACCCTAATAATTGGGGTTATACGCTTGAGTAGTGGGTCTGGCTGGAGAGCTGGTGAAACTGAGCTTCTGCTAGGTAAAGCATCAATTATCCTATAGGAAAGGCGGTTGGGAACGAGCGCCTATTTAGAAAAATTTGCTTTTCTTTGAAGAAAGTAAAGCATTCAAGTAAGTGGGTCTCGCTGGTGGAGATGAGGGTTAATTCGAAAGATCTTCCTATTTTGTATGAAGGAGAGCTTGATGATTGAGTTTGGCTGGTGGAGCCAACGCTTTCCATAAAGAATTATAGCGGGTAACTTGTTCGTACATAATTGGCAAAATTTGATCGATGATTGAAGGGCAGCGCATATAAAGAGTAACAGGGTTTCGTTGTTCGATGGCAGCTGACTCTTCAGAGAGTCCCTACCGGGGGTGACTTGGTGTCGCTGTATCAAAATCCATAGAAGAAAATTGTTCTGGGAGTGCGTGTTGAGGAAATTCTGTTCTTGTTGAAAGCGAAGCGTGTGAGTGAGGATCTCATTGATGGAGGCCATGCTTTCAAGCGAAAGGAACCTCTTCGGGAAGTGCGCTTATTCCACAGATTTTCCAATATCTCATAAAAATCTGCTTTGTAGACGTTTTCATGGGGAAACCTCACCTATACTCGTAGAAAAGCGAGTTATTGACGAGTCCCGCAAAATAAAAAGGCTCAAAGTTCAGGGTAGAGTATCAGTCCAGAAAACTTTTTCAGATGCTTCCACCCGATAAGGAGTCTACCTTGGAGCAAATTTGATGATTTGGCGGAAATTATGTTCAAGTAAAATAAAATGCAGGAAGATGTCATTGAGATGCACAAACTTCTAAAATATATGCTTCAATCCACTTATAGCGACCCGCAGGGTCGCTAGTACTATCAAAGCAATGATTATTTTCAGAAATCTTTTTCCGCAAAAACGCCTCTCCCTCCCTTTCCTCCCTCTCGAGTATTTTTATGACAATTTTGCTGATTTTCAGAGAAGAAGTTATTACCTATAGAATCCTTCCACTGTTCGTCCTGCTTCCCTATCGATAAATGGATGATCGCGTTCGTCAACATCACTGCAATTTATTTATTTGTTTACTCGGGCACTTCCTGTCAACTTCTGCAGTAAACTCACCTAGTGAGTAATCTGCTAGATTCTGCATCAGTCCTAGCAACAATGATAGTAGGAGATCCGCACACGTCGGCGGCAAGACGTGCAGCATTCAAATGGCGAATATGTTGAGCTGTGGGTATCAGGACCTGAAATGGGGAGGTTAAGGTAAGAAGATTAAGTGGTAATAGAGGGAAGAGATCAACCTTTCCTCCCATATGACCGCATTTCTTCTCAGAACCAAGTTGATCTTCAAAATGAACACCGGCAGCTCCAGCTTCGATGTAGGCCTGTAATTAGCCGCTTCGAGGAGAGTATTCTCACGGTCGGAAGTGCTCATACAATGTTACAGTAAAAAATTGTGCTGACAAAGCACTTCAATGCTAAGATCCCATCCGAGATTCATCCCCTCCCTTGCCCTCCCAACTTCAGCGAATAATCTTCTAATTTTTACGATCACCTGCATGATATCATGCATCTTATTCTGCAGTACTCTTCATGCTAAACTTGAATGTGAAGGTCCTACTCGCCCCACCCCCACACATCTAAAATGGGTCGTCAAATTATTAGAACGGGTTTTACAAAGTTCTAGAAGTGTACAAGAAATGTTCTTCTTGTAAATCTTGATATTCCTAACTCTCCACCACAAACTAAATTTTATTAGTAAAGATTTTACGAATTCAAAATTAGCTTATACAAAAATACTTTCCTAGGTGTGATTCAAAAATATGGGAAATATATGAACAAAATTCCTGAAAAAAAATTGAAAAGGAAATCCTTTCGTTCAGATAAAATTTCGGGGCTCCCCTTCCCGGTCTTTGAAAAAACTTTTAAGACCGAAAATGTTGCCCACATATAGAGTTATCGTTGCTGATACCTTCTGGTTCAAATTTCTACGACAGCGATGTGTTTGCGACCACAAACAACATTTGTTTATCGCCGTTATTGAGCGAAAGTAAACCGAAGCGATTCAGAGCGAACTTATGCGAAAGCGGTATCGATCTTACTGCGAACGTTTTGTCTACTGAACTTGGGTAGGTAAACCTTCAGAAACTGTACTCTTTCAAAAGTTATACCGAAAAGCGCGACGGTCATAAACTCCTCTTTTCGCAGGGCTCCCCCGACTACGCCATGTGTTTGGTTATCTGTTTATGCTGGGTCAGAGAACGCTCAGAAGAGCGTATCATAGCATAACAATCGTGAGTCCAAAGTACGCGTGGACCCGGGGTTAGATGAAGGGGCATAATAAATCAAGAGGATGAGAACAACTATTGGTTACTCTGGATCTTACTTACAGAGCACGAGACCCAATTAACTCAAGATAAAGATGAACTCAAAAATCCGAAAATTGAAAAATTGGTTGTAAAAAGGACTGAGTTGATCAATAAAAAGCTTGACTGCCCAAATAATCTCTTCCCTTACCTTCATCAACTCGAAGCAGTTCAAAGCTCCACCAAATCCGGCTTCAGCATCCGCTACAATGGGGGCATACCAATCTCTCTGCGCAAGATAGTCTTCTGCTTCGACTGCTTCGATCTGGAAAATTCTCCTATTACTGGATTACCAACTGTATCATTGCTGAGCTTTGAAAGCTGTATATTGCCCCTATACCAGTGAATAAGAATATGTGGTAGAGTTGAAAGGAGAGAGGATGAATTTTTCAGTACATTTTTTTGGTCACACTTCATTTTCCAAAATTTTGAGAGGTGGTAAGTGAATATTTATTTCATTTTTTCCTGACTCGAAGAAGTGCCAAAAGTTCTATAAAATAAATGACGAGAGATCAAAACGATTAAAAAGGCGAAATTCACATTTTTTGATAATTTAGGCCCGTATGCACGTACATCCCCGCTGGGGAGGGGAGGGGATCTGAGAGGGGATGCGTCATATCTCGCTACTTTACTTATCTTTCTTCTTCCTTTTCTATCTTGCTTATAAAGGTTCTCATACCCTACTACCTGCGCATAATCGATGCCAGGTTACAGGCATAACTGATTAGATTTGTACTATTTTGTGTGATCCCCTGGGGATCCCCAGGGGATCCCCAGGGGATCACACAAAATAGTACAAATCCAATCAGTTATGCCAGTAACTGGGCATCAATTATGCGCAGGTAGTAGGGTATGAGAACCTTCATAAGCAAGATAGAAAAGGAAGAAGAAAGATACGTAAAGTAACAAGATATGGCGCATCCCCTCTCAGATCCCCTCCCCTCCCCAGCGGGGATGTACGTGCATACGGGCCTTAATCTGGAAAAAGTTAGCCCTAGAAACATGTGGTTGGAAACTTTGACTACCTCAATGAAAAAATTTGTTTCCACAATGTAGGCTCGGGAAAAAGATTCCACTGAGCAACTAATGGGGATTTTTCAATCTCAGGGAAATTCTGTGCTCCGAATTCTCAAATTTTTTGATCAATTTTGTATGAAAAAATCTCAAATTTCGATACAATTTTTTCCAAAAAAATATTCTGCATGGTGGCTTGCTGCTAAGAAGCTTCTAACCAATGCCATAATGGCCTTAGACATTCTTGCAATTAAGCAATTTACTTATTTCTTTTGTATTTTCCCAAAACATTTTTGAGGTAAAAGTGTTGAGAGAATCCAGCATGAAATAGAGGTCCGCCAAAAACAATGCAAATTTTTAGCGGAAAGAAACGGTTTGCTCAGAGTGATCAATCTCCTGTAGAGCCCCCTATATGTATCCAAAACCTTTTCCAAAACGACTCATATCAGTACCTGATCTGCCCTTCTCAATGATCTATTGATTCTCCGACAAAGTTCGGGTCCAGAATTTGCTGGGTACAATGATTGATCCGGATACATATCACCAGCCGTGTTTGCATCGGCTGCCACTTGCCATCCTGCAAAATTGCTGCATAAGGGGAAACCAGGTGGACAACTGTCACAAATGAATGTACCTGATAAGTAGATAGCTTTTAGTCCGGCTCGAACCATTTGCACGGCTTGATTTCCAGTCTGGGCACCAAGTGCGGGCACATAGGGTTCGGTATGGAGAAGTTGCCATAGCTGCCATAGAGGTTGGGTAAGGTAGGGTGAGTTCAGGCAAAAGAAGTAAAGGTCCTCACCTTGTTAGCCCCTCTGGTAGCCAGGGTATACTCGATTTCGACTGATCCTCGCAATTTGAGAACATCTTCTACCTAGGATTATTTGGGTCAAATAAAAGTTCTAGATTGTAGGAAAACGGGTAACCTACCTGGTAATCTCTGTTGATACCCTGAAACCGTCCCTTGGGGGCAGCTTTGATAACCTGAAATCATCATGGACTTCAAAGGTGATCCAAAAATGTTGAAAAATCGAGAGGGATCAATACATGGTTCAGTATGATCAATAGCTTCTCAAACCCTTTAACGACATAAGCAAAGAATTTTATCACTGAGGAACTTTTTTGAAAGGTCTCAGGTGAGAAAAAATTGTGTCTGATAAGGTAAATGCACCAAATTGTCACGTTTGTTAGATTTTTTTGGCACTCAGACAAGAAAATTGGGAAAATTTTGTCAAAATAAAAACAAAGGCCTTGCTTTTTCTACCCCCCTCCCTCAACTAACCCTCTAAAAAAACAAAACCAAGAATCGATAAGCCCCAAAAAACGTACCTGATACCAGTTCTTAGCTGCCTGCGCCATGTTGACGTGTAGTAGATCTAAGTGTGCCGGTGCCTTTTATACGGGGTCCACCCCCCGGGTGATAGGGCTCACATAGAGTGTGAGAATCAATGAGTGCGTAGAGCCCGGGGTCGGGTCACTGATTACGTCTACACGTGCGTTTGAGAGATCGAAGTATACCGGGAAGTATAGCGGATCAACAGAGCATATGCGAATTCTTCCAGGATGAGTTGTGAAATCATGAAATCGCATTCTGGATTGTAGATCTACCCAAATCTATTGGATATATGGATTACACAGGAATCGTAGCGGTAGGGACAGTGTCAGGAAAGTGTTCTATGGGCTTTTCTTTAAGGGTTAATTCCTAGCTTCCCGGGTGCTAAACATTTATACCAATAATACCTAATTCAATATAGGTAGTTCGTAATTTAATAGCTGTTTGTCTACTATACTCAATATTTATACACATTTTACGTTTTATTCCGAGGGTTTCAGCTTTTAGGCATTGAAGTTCCTACAGCCCTACCTACTGTATCTCTTTTTAAAGATTGAAATAGCTATAAAAATTTTTCAGCAGTTATTGTTCTGTTCGATGTTCGTTTCCATGGTTTTTGAAGTGGTCCGTTGGCTCTTGATTTCTACTTCAGATAAGAAGAAGCAAGGGTGTGATGCTCTTGATAAATTTCGTCTCCCTTCCCTTTCACGGGATTTTTATCTTATACGCTCCCGTGGACTTCAATAAGGTGAGAAGGCCTAAAATGTTTTGTACAGTTCTCTATTTTAATCAGGGAATTCTCCGCTAAAAACTGCTAGAAAATATTTTCATTGAGTGCCCTTTCAGTGCCCTTTGAAACATACTTCTTTAATTTTTATTCACTTCGCAAAGTCCTGTAAGTTGACCCCACTCATTTACTTATGGGAACCTCATGTTTAGGTTATTTTGATTTTCGAAACAATGATTCATGTCCGAATAATATACTCTTAATTTATAAGCAATGCTTATATCGTCTCTGTTATCTTTTCTCTCTCTCTGTCACCTTTGCTTGTTGTAAAAAAAAACAAAAATTTTTGGCGTGGTTGAATACAAAAAGGCCTTCAACTACGATAAGTGGTATAGGAGATTCAGATCGTGATGCTGTTTAACGTAATGTTTATTGAGTAATCACTCAGGTATTGTATACAAACACACTTACTAGCTTATTAGAAATGTAAATTGAGGTCATGTTTGTATACTTTATACCGACTAGCCGTGGATCGCATTCGAACCAAGTTTCTCTTTCTTTACGACTATGTAGATACTGATAAGGTGTAAACGCAAACGGCGTTCACCAAATCAGCATCATTAGAAAAACAATCACTAACATTTACACGACTGTTAGCTGGTCAAGATCATCAAGCTATTATTTTAGATATGATCTACTTCTCTCAAAAATGAGTGACATCTGTCGTTTTCTCCATTTCTGCAGTTTTTGGTCTTATTTAACATTTTCAAGTTTGCTTTCAATTTCAGATACCTGTAGGGCGAGGCTCAACTTATACGCACAGTATGGAGCGAATCATCGATCGCTCTTCATTACTGTAGGATTACGGTAAGTACTTTCAGCGTATGAAACCGTTGTGGAATATGCCATCTGACAGAATTTTTTTCGAAAAAAGACCGTGTACTAGAGATTTCGCCCACGCTGATTCCACCGCTCTACTTTTTACAAGCGTTTTCAGCTTTTTTGACGGTGTAATCACATTTCCGAGAAGTGCTGGGAATGTAATTATTACGGTTTACCTGGGAAAACTTAGAAACGAAGCATCACAGTTGGTTGGGAATTTCATATTGAAATCAACGCTTCCACTATCATGACATAAGAGTTTTTGGCTTGTATGTTTGAGCGATCGATGATTCGCTCCATATTCTGAGCCTAAGTTGAGCCTCGCCCTACAGAATGGTACCTGAAAGTCGGCGAAAGACACCAAATCAAGGAGGTTATTAACGATCAAACAGTGTGCACATTTTTTGGGACACCCTGTATATCACAATAATTACATAAGTATTCTATCAACAGTAAACAAAAATAATTATGTCTATGTAGCAGTGGCGTACCCAGGATTTCCGCTCGGGGGGGGGGGCAACAAAAAATTTGTTCCAATGAAAATGCGTTAGCCACGCACTCCGAAAAATTTCTTGGGATGCTTTCCAAAACTTTTCCGGGCCCCTGACCCCGAAATTCCAGAAAAGGGGGCGTGACGGCAGCCACGTCCCCGAGAAAATTATTTCACAAGGCCAATTTAAATTTTTAAAAATTTTTAAAAATTATTTCAATCGTTTACAAGTAAAAACAAGTCTTCTGCACATTTTTATAAACATTTAAGTAACTTTCAAAAATTTCGCGACCCATTCTCGGGGGGGGGGGGAGGGGGGGAGGGCGCCCCCCCCCCCTACCCCCCCCCGCTCCCCCTCCCCCTCCCCTCTCGGCACGCCACTGCTATGTAGTACTAGCAGCGCATTTCTAGTATCGTTCATATTTTAACATAGAATGAAGTCCATTTATAAAGTGGTGCTAGCATTTTCTTTATACCAAACTTTCAACCCTAATTTCAAAATACTGTTCTTGTCAGCATCTCATAATACTCTTGCTTTGGTGAGAGTCATTAAATACTGTGAATCTTCCAGGGCTAACTTGGATACAGGCCTTTGAAACAACCAACAAGTAATTTACTTCTGATGAAAACTTTGAGTTCAGGACAGTCCCTTATTGTCACATGTGCTCTCAATGTGCTGGGCAGTGAAAAACGTGCAGAGATGAGTTTTGTAGCAAAAGTACAAATTTTTATTTTACTCCAATCTATCTTTTGCCTGTAAGTAAGAATTCAAGGTACAAGGTCCTGGAAATCTTAAATCTTTATCTTTTTGTTCTCAAGAACTACACTAATATTGAAACAATATATTAGCAAAGGACATCACAATCGGTCACTTTTCTGCCAGTTCAGGTTCAAAGTCCATCCGGGCGAGATTTTTGATCGCGGAGCAATGAGGCCAACGGCAATGTTCATTATCTCTCGAAGAACACCAGTGGCGTAGCGACGAGACGACAAAGGGTGATTGATACGAACCGTCTGAGCGGAGAACGCTCAGACGGTCGAGGAGACGGCGTAGATTATGCTTTCGAAATGCCTTCCGGGATCTGTTGATTATTTGAGAAGCTCAAAAATCTAATGTGCGAAAATGAGAAAAATTTTTGGAATGAGAAGATGGGTTGACCAACCGGAGATTTCAATCACAATGTTCAAAAAACGTCTTCCTTGTTACCATCACAAAGACCGTACAATCTATGTCAACCATATGCTGCCTTTTCCGTAACAGCTATGCGTCTGCAGCGCAAGGGTCTAGCGCGGCGACCCTGATCGATGAGGCGAGTTTTGAGTGCTCAAATCGCGCGCGAGCATGACGCGAGGTTGTGGGCTTGCGATTTGGCTGGTGGAAAAGGGAACACAAGGTTGACACGGACTGTACGTGACTGACAACTGTGATTATGCGCACTGCAGAAGACGTACGCTACTTAATACGAATAACGGTACCATACAGTATATTTGCATAAAAAATTCAAAATAAACTGATTGCAGTCTGGCATGGCACGGAAGGCAGCGAGCAGTGCAAAACTCTTTTAAAAAGCTATGGTAGTTTGAAGTTAAATTCGCAAGCTTATGCTGCGTCCAGAGTTCCCCATGTGTCTGCGCTGTGCCAGGGCCATGTCAACCGCTTATTTATTGATCGGCCCCTCGCCCGGCGGTTCCAGCACGGCTCTATGGAGCTGGAACGGCGCTGGCACGGAAGGAAAAAAGAAAGAGCCAAGAAAAAAAAAAGAATCGTTCGTAGGTGCAACTTTAACAAACAGAGTCATTACTTCCCTTTTACCCACTCGACTTTGGAATTTTTTCGCTTGAATCTACTTATTAGCTCAAGCGCAAACCACTTTCCGCTATCTCAGCCTTATCTTCTCGGATATGCGACCGCTTCAAAAGCATCAAACGAAACAAATTTGAACATACACTATAAACTTACCGTTGCTATTTTTTCTTCTTCTTTCTTTACCTTTCCTCCTCTGCTGTACCGCATAGTTTGCGGTTTTTTGACCTGTGCATCCTCTACAGTTCTGAAGCCTACATATGAATACAAATACCAAAAAATGCGTCGACTGCGATGCGCTTTTTCCCAAAATTTCGTCTCCAAAATTCTCAACTGTGTCTCATGTCCTATTATCGATTTTAACAGCTGTAAACTGTTTATTTGAACATTAAAAGTCCAGTAAAGTAGACCTTCACTATTTATTTGAATAAGTATCTTCACATTGAAAATGGTTGACTTTCATACAGGATGTGGAGAATTTGTATACAATAAAACTTTGCGCAGAGAACAAGATTAATTCTGTAGATCACAAAATTGAAAAACCCTTGAATTTGATATGAAATAAGTTAGCGGGTTCACGATGACAGGAAATTGCCTAATGATGAAAAATGAGAATAAACAATAAATTTGAAAGATCTCAAATTGGGACTAGCGGTAAATTAAGAACACGAGAGCGAGGGATAAACGAATAATCTGGATAATAATTGGTTTATAAGTTTCAATTTCAAACACTGGTCTATACCTACGTTCTTCAAACCGCAACGCAGGAGCAACGCGACCGCGACGCGACGCTTGACATGCGATGTTGAGAAAGCCATGTTATGGCGTGTGCATGATTGTTTATGGCATGACTGTTGGCAGAAAAAAGTTGGGCAGCCAAAAAAATGTGAAAAGAAAGGATAAAAAATATGAAAACAGAAGAAAAGATGGAGCCTATTTGCTCTCGCTGCTAGTGCTACTGCCGCTACTGCTGCTATTTTTCCTGGAACGGTTTGATGCTTCCGATTTTCCAGAGCTTGAACTTGAACTAGATTCGGATTCTGATTCAGATACTCTGTAAAAAAATTCATATTCATTTCAAGGGCAGATAATGTCACAAGCTTACTTCCTCCCCCCTCCCCCCCCCCCCTTTTTGAAAATTGGAAGGGTTTATAAGTGGATATCTTTCGATCTATTCATGCACTTACCTTTCACTATTGGATTTCGCTTCCGACCTATCACTGTCAGTTTTCAATTCCGACAACGCGGAACCGGATGAATGGGGTGAGCTCGATGAGCTCTCTGTACTTCCAGTGGATGATCTAAACTTCCTGATTCAACGGAAAGCATTATTTACCGCGCAATCTCATTCACCAACCTTGACTTCCTTTTGGGTGATGATTTCGATTTACTTTTGTTTTCTGTCCTTGTTTGTTTCGGGGTATAATGTGTTGGGCGTACACCAAGCTCGTCGAAAATCTCCGCTCGAAGGCATTCAAGATCATCCTAGAATACTTAGTTATTCCCATAAGATTTCTATAAAATTTAGAGAGTTTTTTTATATCATTTATTTAATGAAGAACAAATTTGAAATTTCTGATTTTCTCTGTTTCCGTTATGATTTTCGAACGTGATATTTACCAGACAATTCTTTGGAAGTGTATTCTAGCTGAAGAAAGGTAGAGGGTTTGGAAAAAACTCAAAATTAGGACTTTTTGTACTGGGAGAAGGTTTTATTGTTACCATAAATGTTTCTTCAGAGAAATGAAATGTTATAACCCGCCCTGAACCAGCCTCCTTTTTGCCAAATGCTTTTTTCTTTTGTCGGAAACTTCTGTGATCTGCCGGTAACGCGATTTGTCTGCTATTTGAAGTATTTATAGGAACTCACCCAAGAAATCTGATTACTCCACTTTTCCATTTCGATGTCCACCGCCTCAGCTATCACTCTGAAAAAATCTCAAATACCAAAATAATATGGGAATAATGCCAAATCTTTGAAAAGCAAGCGTTACTTACCCATCTGTGAAAACTTCACGATCAATCACATAGGTATACACTGCGTCTTTGAACAGATCAAAACAAAAGTTCTCTTTTCGTCTTTGCTTTTCCGCCCGCTTCTTCTTCTCCTCCAAATTCTTTTCTGCCTTTGGCGCTGGTGGCTTCGCTACCTGAAATCACTCATAATTAACAAATCTTGCAAACCTTCAAATTCTTACCTGTCGATTCCTATGTAAAGGTGGCTGGTAAGTTTTCGTTTGTAACAGTTTTGACTTGACATCGTTACCAGTAAGCGAAAGCGGCAAGTTTAGTTTGGGAACTCCTCGGCCATATGGGTCACCGACAAACTCGGACAATTCTTTATGGGGTCGCGATAGCTGAAAACAGTAATAGTGGCATTTGGATTTAGAGTAAATTCTGTCTCATTGGAGTTGGCGGCTGGAGGGCTGGGCGATCGATTACAGAGCACATAAGCATGGGAGATGAAGGCTTTGCATCTCCCTCGCGTACGTGCTCCTAAATGATCGAAACCCCGCACTCCAGCCGCCAAATCCAGTGAGACAGAGGGTACTCATTTATGTGAAAAATGATATTCAATCTGATCGCATTTTTTCTGTATAAAAGCACGTTGTGTGGTTACGATAGGTGTACGGTAAACTGCAGAGCAAAATCATCCGCACTTTTCTATGTTTTCTTTTTCAAACATGAGAAACGCAAACTCATCCTTCCATTCATTCATTCACAGAATTTTTAATGAACTAGAAATGATAAAAAAAATTCTAGAGTACCAAAAAGGAATAATCTTATATATAAAGCTGAATGTCTGTTTGTCTGTCTGTCTGTCTGCCTGTCTGTCTGTATGTATGTCTGTACGTATGTTTCGAATAGAAAATTCCATTTCTGAACCGATCCGGACCAAACTTGGCACACATACACTTTGGGATCGGGCGGGTGTCATAGGCCACTTTTCGTCATCGAACGATATCGATTTTATCGATTTTTTGCAAAATTTGAGCTACAGGGCTGGGAGTTGGCACAGAGGGGTAATCAAGATGCTGATTACAAATATAATATTGACAGGCCCGGGCGGAGCCGGGTATGCCAACTAGTTGATTATGAAATTACGATACCTTTGGTTGCCGTCTTTTCGCTGCATCTGCTGATGAAGCCCGTTTTGGAATGTAATGTACACCTATAATGAACAATGACCAAGAATTTGTTAAAAAAAGCAAAACCAGACATTACTTATAGGGCTATTGTACATGGAAAATGGTGGGCTGGTGTCAACTCTTCCTTTGACTCCTCTGGTGAGCTTGTAGTGGTGGCTCATTATTGTCTCCGGTGCGATACTCCAGCTTGAGCTGGAGGGTCGCAGAACCATCTCCTGTACTTGTACACTAAAAAATTAAACCAGATGGCTATAAAAAGATCAAAAGAAGCAACATGATTTCTTCATGAAATGAGCAGAATTCGTACGTTTCAATTTACAGATGTATAACCAAGATGCGAAGGTATGGAATGGAGATCAGAGCCTTTCTGGGATTTGTCAGAAAGCACAATTTAATTGGACATTGCAGGGCACAGATGAATGGAAACAGGTGAACATAGTTACGAAAACGGAAAGAAAAGTTGATGATATTCATCCACAATACGTCATATCCAGAAATAAAGAAAATTATACATTAAACGGAAAAGGAAACTGTATTGAACGCCTCTAAATAACAAAAGATAGGATAAAGTAGTCCCAGTAGTAGTATGCAAATAATTTTTTCCTATTTTTGAATAGCCAAAACGATAATACTTTGCTGGAAACTTTTCCGGTGGCGTAACGGCTATGAAAAATTTAAGTTAAATTTGGTGTCACCCCATTTGTTGGCTGCCCCGCAACTCGAACAAAAAAGCACACTTCCACCGCTTTTTGAATGAGATATGTGCATTCGACCCTTTGAGAAACTTTATAAAGGCGCAAAGTGTAGAAAAAGTAAGTGCAGGAGAGAGAGCACAAGAGCCGTATGTTGCTGCGAACGCGTAGGTAGCTTTGAAAGGCTTTCTAAGGGCAGTCCTTACTAGTTCAATAACAGAATATCAAATGATTAAAAAATGAAAAAAGATGCTTACCTTGGAGTGAGGAAGTTGTTACCTAGGCAACATCTTTTGAATGCCTGGGAAACCTTTGGTAAGTTGCCTTTCATTTCCAAGCAATGTTCATCCTCGCCACGAGAGTAAATCCCAAAAAAAATTGAGGAACCCAAGTGAAGGCGAAACAAGTCTTTCCTTGCAAAAAATTGCGAAAATCACCTCATCAGGCAGGTTTCCGTTCATTGAGTCAAAGCATTTTAAAGCATACACAATTATTGATATTTTTCAAATCTCGAGCAATCGGTACAATTTTCTTTGATCCTATAACGAAAGTGGAACGAAATTTCAAAAAAGCTGGCATTTGAGAGTTAGACTGAAGGGCTTTCGGCTCTTTCAAAAAAAAAAAACCAAATGAGGACTGAAGGTTTGGTAGCTGTAGGTAAAGTGGAAATTCGTAATAAAATTATCGATGACCAAAAAATCACTTCATTTGGAAAGAAAGTGCACTTTTCGGGCATAAATTTGAAAAAAAAAGCTCAAAAGTTGCGTATTTTTGAAATGTTCGGAATGTGATTGTCATTTCACTTGCAGCGGACCGACTCGGGTGAGAAATTGCATGAACCCAAAACTGCAAATGACTCCCTTCATGTAATACCGGATCAATGTGAGACAAGAGAAAGGCGGGAGGGTGGGGGGGGGGGGGGAGTGAGAGAGAGCGAAAGAAGAAGAAGAAATTGCTGAGCTTTCAAATTCATTTATTTCGGCTCTCAAGCTTTCTGGATGACATGACAGACAGAATTGAGTACGCATGCATCAGCGCCTATTCCTATACTTTCCACGATGTTGTAATTTCTGATTTCTAGAAATTTCCTAAGATATCGCATCTTACCCTATAGAAAAGCTGTCTTATCATAAGCTGAGCCTGCAAAGGACTTCAAATCCAATCTTATGCGTTTCAATTAGGGATTCAGGGAGCAAGAAGCTAAAGCCTTCGTAAGCTAGTTCTTATCGTTATAGCATATGACGTTTTGCTTTTGCAAAGCAATAACGCAGGAAAAAGGTGTGAAAGCTAGCGAAGAGTAGCGAGCGGAAATCCGTACATTTGTGAGGATGCGATATTAATGCATCTGGTCTACTGGAATATAATCTAGTAAACGCAGTTGCTACTTGGAAGCAGAAATAATATCGAAGATATCTTCAGTAACGTAGTCGTCGAGTATTAAAATAAAAAAAATGTTATGAAGAGATAATGTTCGGCAACAGCTACAGTTGAATTGCAGTTGAGAGTAGATTGTAAAAACTTTTAAATAAGACAGAGAAAAAACTGAAAAAAAATGGTCCACATTCTGCAAACGGTATAGTTCTTCCAGCTTTGTAATCGTTCTTAAGCTTGGTTTGAAAAGCCTTATAGGAGTGAATTTCAAAAAAGTAGATAGTGCGGCTCAACTATACGAAATAGGAATGAGAAGAAGAACATATTCCGTATGATTACATGCAATTATCGGAACCAGCTGCAATATAGAAGAACTAACGATTGCTCACATGGCCTGTGTAAGAAGATGTGTAGAGGAAGCAATCATGCAGAAGAACAGATAATAGAGGCTTGCACATAGATTTAAAAGATCTTTTTGAGCATCAAAAAGTAGAGTACGAAAAGCTCACGTTCTTTCGCGAAGACATAATTTAAATCAGTCTAAATAATTCACTGACAATCTTGAAAAGAGATTATGAGATTCGCTATAGCATAAACAGTTTACTGACTATTATCTTCAAAAAATTCTCAGCAAACTTCTCGAAATAATGGTTAAATGATAAATTCATTAGCCATCATCTTCAAAAAACTTTCAGCAATTTTCTTATTAGATTGGAAAAAAAGAATGTCACTATTTTCTATTGTAAAGCAATATTATTTGAAAAATATGTGAAACAGAGTAAACGACAGAGTAGAAGATGACTTAACTTAATCTTTGAACACTGCCAGAAATCGTGATTTACCCAAATTGAAGCCAAATACGATCCTCCACTTACTCCTGCTAGCAACTGACATATGCCATTATTCTTAGATACACTTGCTATAATTTTCTTATGCTTGGAAGTTAAATAAAAATTGAAAAACGGAAAATGGCAAACTTCGCCTCAGCTCCTTCCGGAAATGCTCTTTTATACTACAAACCTCCAAGATTCCAACCATAAAATCTTGGCCTTGGATATGCTTTAGCTGTTGAAAAATATCAATTTAGCGGAAAAAAACAAAAAAGCGACATTCTTTTCTTTACCTACTATAATGGTCAAATAGTGTAAGTTTGATTTCGTGTTTCAAGTGTTAAAAGCGAGTTAGTAAAGGCATTACAAATTCTTTGCACTTAAAACAGTCAAGCATAGCGGACCGTTCAATCTGGAATAAATTTGTGAATTGAATAGCATAAAACCAATCAAACGAATCAAATAAGGCACAATGAGCTGCATGCAGCTTATGCTGAGTGAATATATAGTTATTGAGTATAGTGCAAAGTCTGGAACTCGTTATTATTGATTTTCGTACAAAGAACATTCATATAGCAGTTAACACATGTATTCTACAAAAAAAGCGAGTCAATTTTGCCCAACAAATTTTTGAAGGAAGGATTCTAAGCGTGCCAGCTCCTATGACAACTCATAGTACCCAGTACTGGAGATGTCTTCCATCATTCTTAGCATCGTTCAGGAAAAAATGATGAATGTTGAGGCGGGGGAGGCGGGTAAAGAAACTAGTAATTTCTGCCACGTTGAAGAAAAAGAGTTGGAAAAGAAGGGCTAGAAACGTCAGCATACTTTACAAAAGTAACAAAGACAACAATTTCGGATCTTTCAACTCCATTTACTGGAAAAAGAAAAATCAAAAGAGGTGATATGTGGCAGTTACTTGGAAGAAACGAAACGACTTCTTCTGGTGGCACTAACAATGCAAGAAAATTGATAGCGGCAGTTCTAGAATACATGAGGGAGCTTCGTAGCAATTATGGCAACACCGACGTTGAGGTCAGTGGCACATTGAAGCGGCGTGCTGGAAATACTCCATAGCAACGGAATTAGAGATGGAAAATATCGTAGGACAAGAGAGCTGCGAAGCCAAATGAGTCAATTGCGTTCTGAATAGGATATTGGACATAGCTGTGAACTTGCGGATCGCAAATTTTTCAAGCAGAGAGGAAACGCTGGAGAAGAAAACGAAGGACACATCGGAATTTAAGCCCCCACAATCGTTGACTCAAATTGTTTTTAATTCGAACACCATCAGAAACACACAACTCTGCTAGAAATTCATTGAGATAAATTTTGACTAAAGTAGCTTTACGGTCTGAAAACGGTCTTGAGTTTTCCAAGATCACCCTTGCAGAGATTGTATCTGCTTCACCATTTCTCCTACCACTGTTTACTAGTAATTTGCGCAGTAATAAATGCAGATAAGGGCATCTTTGCATTACCACAAGAATTGATCTTATTGTAAAACGTTATCAGCGATAAGTACCGATGTAGGTGCGTGTATGTGTGGATATATTAGTTAGATGATGCTACCATTCACCGTAGAGTCTGGGTTGATCAGAGTTTTGGCCATTTTTAACAGTCGACAAGTTATGTTTGCTACGAAGCGATTGTGAAGAGCCGATACTAACAGTAAGCTGACTATAAAATTAATACCAAAATGAGAAAATTTGCTTTTTCAAGCAGAATGCTGCCATACTGTTTATATTCATCACTATATATTATGCCACGGATCTTTCTCTTAGAGGGATCATAGTCGGAGTCACAGGGCTAAGTTGGCGTACCCAAGAAGCGGATAGGGGGATAATCGTCGAACGAAAGCGACCCCGCGCCTGCTCTGATAAGCAAGCGTAGCCGGGAATGGACTCCCTGTTTCCATTAAAAGCTTGCATTCTAATTTCCCGGGTAGGTGTGCGGGGAGGTGTGTTCGGAGCCGCCTCCAACAATTGAAGTCCGGTCATCCCTCGAGGGGTTTCAGCCTAACAAGCTATCCCTGCGAGTAAAATTTGTTCGACGCAGTGAAAATATGGAATGCTCCTTGGAAGAGCCACTGGTAAGGCAGCCATTGAGGACAAGATTTGAAAGGCGATCTAGGCTGCCAAAACAAACGGACAATGATGGCGATTTTTACTTACAACCAAGAACGCTGGCATCAGATGCAACTATCAAGACCCCATGACGCAAGCAAGGAATATAAAGTACGACGTCAGAGACAAGGAGGCACCAACAGCTGAACGGCACATGAGACTGGAGAAGAGCTGTTCTTAGGAACAGCAACCG